TTAACCAAACGTATTTACTATATATCGTATATTTGTTTGTATGTATTTACAAATGTATGCATGTATGTATGTCTGACTTTTTTATTTTCGCACATTAACACCGCGCGCGCGACGACTGAGACCACTTTACGAGTATCAACAAAAACATACACCGAGACGACACAACGACGAAACGATATCGAGCCGCTGTCGGACGCTCCGTCTAGCTCTATAATACTTACAACAAAAGCCGCCAACAAATTGTGCTGGGGTCCCACTCGCGCATCCGTGCGAGCACTCAAACAAGCCAATAGCCAACAAATGGACTCGGGAGTTCGAGTCACCATGTAAGTAGCAAATATAAAAGCGATTGTGAGCGGGTGAGCGTGCAGCGCCGGTAGCGCTGGTGGACGAATTCGACGCGCTGTAAAATGAGTGATTGAGCGTGTTTTACAGTGGGAGTCCACTGACAATGGCGGCGACGGCGATGGCGACGCAGTTCGCCGACTCTCAATGTAATCGACGCCAAAGCGGACAGCACGGCCAAAGGTGGCTGCCACGACGAATAGTTCTAAGGCGAAGGAGGTAGCAGCCAATAATTCTGTAAAATGCAGAAGAAGTAGACGATGCGGCAAGGAAATTCGTGTTGCAAACAACAGCGACGCCAGCGTTGTCGAAGTCGACGACAACTGTGGTTGAATAGCAGCTAGAACGAAGTGTGTAGATGGTAGTGCTGCTGTTGCATTCGCTGATATTGGTGTAAAGTATCTGGGTGTTAGTGCAAATGGTGGACTTTTTGCGTTACCACATATTCACCGGTGTGTGTACCAATGGGATGTATGTTTGCATAAGTAGACTTGTGGGTATATGTGTGGGTGCACTCGCTAAGCGCTCTTGTAGTAGCACTAGCTAAGTAAATTCGACTCCACTCTAGCACACATTTTAGCTCGACTACTTAAGTATTGATAGCAAGAACAAAAACTACATTCAATAAGAAAAATCTTACTCAAAATGCTGAAATAAAAATCATTGTAAGAGCACACGAAATTAGTGTTCGTTCTCTGCGCTGTGGGGATTTAGCGAAGGCAACGCGCTTTGCAACCATTTGAGTTCTTACTAAAAACGAGAACAACAAAAGTCGGAAAAATCTTGATTAAATGCTTTTTTTCATTGAGTTCCTCTTTGTAGTAGTCTTATAGAAAACTCGTGAGAGCGATGGTTGAACCTCTGGCATTCTCCACTGAAGCCCTCGGTCAAATATATTTATAGACGTTGAACTTTTAGCAATGTGGAATTTTCGGATACTCTCTAGGACCTTAGCCACTCGGTGTAATCCTCGCGGCCCTTGGTTAGAGGCGTTTGCCTTACATTTTGTGATATAGTCAAGTCTTGGTCTTGATGCTGGATGTAGTCGAAGATTCACGTTGAGACTAGAGTGAATAGGGGCTCTCTTCTTTTTCGGTGGTGTGGCTGGGATTTTCCTAAACTATGTACATGAATATAGGTATGTATTGGTAGGGTTTGGAAAGTGCACTTGACTACTTTCCTTAAAAATAATAATATTATTATTTTGATCTTTTAAATATTAAAGTACTGGAACTCGGCTAGACTTGTTAACCAGTCTGACAGTACCAACTGCTGCCCAGGTAAAACATGCAAATTTTTAGGTTGTATATCCATTCGTCAACAATCCCAGATCATACACTCCTTTTTTACCCACTCATCTGTTCTCCCATATGTGGCTCACATAAGCATTGCCAATGCTTCCGTTTGAAAAAGCGGATTCCATTTTCACGGGGAATCGAAAGACTTGGCGTTCTCTTGCTCATTGAAAATGTCTCCCAGTGACAAGCTCTGATTTGGATCCATACACGGAAGGCAATATCATGAGTTTGGTGGGAATAGAGATATTTTACCATCATGAAATGCTACCACATGCTCAAGTGATCGATTTGGAATTCAGATATAATCTGGTTGCATGAAACGTTGCACAAAAAAGAGGAACCTTAATAAAATATGGCGGGCGTTCCCTCATGAGAAAGTTTTGGGAGCTTGACGGGAAAGTCGTGATGCAGCTATCATTTAATCTCAAGGAAGGTATAAGGATTTCATTCCATCACGCTTTTGGGAGCTGCCCTGGCGAAGTGCACCCTACCACCTGGTTAGACCCATGCTCGCTTCTTCACTGCAAAGAGCCTTACGTACTCCCCTAAAAAATCCTCAACAACCCTTTTCACAACCTGGACGAAAGGGGTCAGGCTACCACTGGATATTTACGTCAATGGCGAGCAAATTCCGCTGGAGAACAACCCAAAAATAATCTGAGTCACCTTCGACAGCCTGCTCTCTTTCTTGGCACACACAGCCTTAAATGTCAATAAAATACAGAACCGCAAAAAAGTCCTCAAATCGCGAACCGGCAATACTTGGGACAACGGAAAAAAAAGTTGTTTCTAACATAAAATCCAGTTCGCGTGGTCACCGGAGACCAGCCGTATGCAGTGTATGCAGCTACAGACTTGTCAAAATACAGCCACAGGACGCCTTCTGATGTCGCAGGGACATCACTTTCATAGCGATGCCCTTATGGTCCCATGAAGGGAGCGCAACATTCTGCTGTGCAAGAAGTTCACAGACAGCTGCTTCAAGCGGATCCTCCACCATTGTCCGCAAGAAGGTATCTCTACAAACTAAAACACGACTTCCAGCAATAATTGACGCGCAACCACTGAACCCGACTCTGTATAGAAAAGCCACAAGCTACATTTACAGGGGGTCTGTCTCAGCCTAAAACAAATACCGTCCGCTGACGAGACAGAACTTCCACTGCCACGGGACACCCGCACAACACTGGTGCATCTTCGGTCTGGCTACTGCAGCAGACTCAACTCATATTTGGGTAGACTAAAATTCGGCTTATTTAATGTATGTCCGGCATATGGAAATCTGCCAACAGCGCCATCTGACTACGGGCTTCAGATTAAGCAGTAAAAGTGCTGCTTAACTATTACATCATACTCCATACCTGGACCTGCCAGAAGTCCCGCATAAAATTCCCAGGCCGCACCGACGGGAAGGACCCAGCGATTGGAGGGCATAGCCGTCTTCGATGACGAATCAAATATGGCGGAGGCGTTTGAGATTAGGGTGGCTATAAGGTACATAGAAATTCATGCAACCGGGTGATCTAAGGTGAACATTTTCTCCGATAGTCAAGTGGCAATTTAGGCACTCACCTTCTCCTCAGGTAAATCGCAATTTGTGGCGGACTGCGGTGGATATAGGCGGCTCGCTTAGACAAATTAAAAACAAAATTACCGAAATTTACCATTCAAAAGCTTAGAGGTAGTGTGGTGAAAGATCATATAGGATTACCTTATCTGCCACCCTTCCAAAACCGAGGGTTTTTTCGGGAAATAGCAAGGAAAATGCAAGCAAACTCGCGTGGCCTATTGGTGTACCTGCCGAAACGATTGGCATAACTTTCAACAGGTTCTGCCGCAGCTGCAAAGATTCGGGCTGGCTGGAGACAATTTAACCAAGAGTGAGGCTAAATACATTTTTTCAACCATTCCTGACAAATATTCCAGAGCGCAGTCACCTTCCTCCGTACAATTCACTGAAATTCATCAATACCGTCAAGTGACTGTAGGTTTGCTCGTGATTGTCTTCTCAAAATGGCAAATATTTGCTAATTGCAAACCACTAAACCCAACCAACCAACCCGAAATAGGTACTTGAAGCCTGTATTCAAGACATTTAAAAAGGTTCGCTTAACTAACCAAACCAACAAGTCAAACTGCTGATATTTCCGCACTTATAATCCCACTGAGAGTTTTCGTGTGAGTATAGCAATTAATATAAGCCCATTGCTTTGACTTTCCGCATCGAACTCTGAGCTCAATTAGTTGGGCATGCTTTTCAAAAGTTTCACAGCTTATGAAATTATTGTATTGTAGTCTATCTCTTTAGTAAAAAATTAAGACCACCAAATCAAGATGTTGGGTCTTGGGCTTTTAGTTGTCAGCAAGAGTATCAAAAGTACTCCCAATTTTGAAATATACAAGTATCATACCTCAATAGCTTATAACGCAGACATTCCATTAGATAATAGTCTTGGAAATTAAAACCACGAATTCCCAATAATCGCTCAACGCTCAGAGTGACAGCAAAAGACGGTAATTGTTTTTGTAATAACCATAGACTTACCTACTATTCTGTCAGACAGTGCCGTCGATGCAACGTAATGGAGTGCAATTTTGAGTGACATTTTATCTAGCCAATACTCACGGGTGGGCAAAAGTTCTTTTCCATATTTATTTTATATACTCTACTCAATCACAAAGCAACCAATCCAACTTGAAGTGCAAAAAAAAAAAAAACAAACAATCCTCCTACTGAAGAGCGACTGAAAACTGCAATAAAAAGAGAATTTTTTCTGAGCTAAGTTATGAGCAAATAAAGAATAAATCTAGCTGTTGCAGATTTTTTGCTACTTGGCGCTCAACGTCAACTCTCCGCTGCCACTATTTGGCCGTAACAGATGGAATTGGCGTAGAATTTAAAAATGTGTCGACCAACACTAGTACATTGGTTTTTACACACACACACACACACACATATGTATGTAAATACAGCCATATGTGCTAGGTACATATGTTTGTGTAGAACAAAGACAACTAGAATGCAAGCGTAGGGCACGCAAAGTTACTAAACACGTAAAAGTTTCAACAAACGTGATTACGCTCAGAAGAAGACCAGTGGAGGTGAGACTGTTCTACGTTTCAACTCATAGTCGCAGAACTGTGTTTCAAGTGGGTAAGCTGCTGAAGAGCTAGTCGGATTGTATTAAAATGGTAGAATATTTTTGCAAAAAGTGGCTGCGCGCCAATTCGACGATGGTTTCAAAACCGAACTCCGGTCAAAACTTCACTCGAAAGCAGTTACAGAAAATTCACTCAACACTCAAAACACACTCAAAGCTGTGCGTAAAGCGCTCAGAACATTTTTCGCTTACTCACCACACTTGACGCGCTGCAATACAGCGGCTGCTGTTTTTGTTTGTCGTGGCGTTGTATGTGTGTATACATACATATGTATGTGCGCGCGTGGTGCCGTGACACTGAATGAGTTTTTGCAAAAAATTGCATGAGCGCGCTTACACGCGCACGCACACGCACACGCACTCGAGCGGTTTGTTTACTGCTGTCTGGCTATCTGTGTGTGGCGCTCACTCTTTATGCGAATTGCATTTTCGATGCACTTTTGCTGTTCTGCGCTGCGCTTGGTTCACCGGCAGTGCGCGTACTGCGACTGCCACTGCCGCAGCGACGGCACTGTTAGCTTTGCTTTCGCACACTGTTGCCGTCGCTTAGAACGTGTCTATCTTATGGCGATTGATCGCTTTATTTTATTTTTTTGTTTTTAAGAAAATAAAAATATTCCGAAATTTTTAGAACAAAAACAGATAGCAGAAACAGCAAAATTTAAAAAAAGTTACATTATAAATTTGTTCTTAAAACGTATTCGCAATTTCGTTTTTTTTTTTTTGGTTTAACAATTTGCATTCGCTCCGTACCCGGCTACACACACACACTATGCTCCTTCGTTCGTGCTAAGCGGCGTACACGTTTGCATGCAACTAACGACAACCGTAGACGACAAACAGACTGAAAAATGCATCTGGAAATACGCTTGGCACGCCACCGGCCAGCAGTGTCAAGCTCGCTCGTTCGCTAAGCTCGCCCTGCCCACCACCGCCGATTGCATTTTAGCGTCGCCCGTCACTGCCGCATGCATTGCATGCATTTCTGTCTCATTTTGTTTTTGGGGCTCCGTTTTCGGTGCTTTCGGTTTGGGTTGTTGTTGTCGCGTAGACGTTGCAGTTGTGGTGGTGACTCGCTCACTTCTCACTTTTGCAGTGTCTTTTTTATGCCATATTTTATTTAAGTTTTATTTCTCATTATAATGCAATTCTTTGCTGGGCTTTTCGTTTACTGTATTTTACTTTATTTCATTTCATTTCATTTAATTTTTTACTTCATCCAAATTAAGTCTAGTGTACATTCAATAAAAATTACAACAACAGTGTGTGGCTGCAGAACGCTGTTTAAGGGTAGTTAATGTTCAATGCATCATCTACTCACAACTAAATATAAAGCTGCGATTTATGCCAAGTGATATTGAGATATTGTGCTTTTGTTTAGCAGAAAATGCGCTTTTCATGCTTGCTTTGCCGGAATTTCGAGGGTAATTTGGGAAATCGCCGATTTATTTTTGTACTAGTGAAATAATTTGAACAGCTTGGCAAGATGTGACGGTCCCATATAAATTTAATAAAAACAGGTAAATAAGTACAAGTTCGTGTGAAACCGAACTTTATATACCCGGCGCAGGTATCAGATATCGTCTTTTCAATTGTCTCTCAACTACTTCTTCATTGGTAAGCAGGAGTGTTTTTCCCGATTTCAAACATTTTCGATAATATTCTTAGTTAGAGTTAATGATATAATTGAACCAAATTTGGTAGAAATCTATAAAGTGGTTACCGGGATACAACTTATAGTCATAAAGTGGGCGGTGCCACGCTTAATTTTTAAAAGTCTATTGCAGCCTAATTTATCGTTAAGAGATTATTGTAGCTATTAACTTGGAGCAAGTTAGCCCCCTCAGTTATCGCAGTATTCGTGTTTCTGTAAATTACCGTTATATGTTAGGTGGGCGTGGTTATAGCCCGATTTCAAAGATTTTCTATAGATTTCTTAGCTAGACCCTATGCAAAGCTCGGACCACGTTTGCTAAGGATTGATGAAGCGGCTACTTAAAAAGACAGCATTTCATTATAAGAGGGCGTAGTCACGCCCCTTTTCCAAAAATTCCATAACAATATTATTTCTTACCAGAATTCTACTGCACATACTAATTTTCTACAATTTGGATGTAATATTTACTGAAATATCGTAGTGTTTGCCTTTTCGAATATACCGTTATAAGGCAAGTGGATGCGGTTACTGTCCGATTTTGCCAATTTGCAATACCAACCTACCTTGTATAAAGGGCAACCCATATACCCAATTTCGTTGAGATATCTCAATTTGGGTAACTGATATAAATTCCACGGACGTAACTTCCTTGGGCCCGTTAAAGTTATTTCAGACTTAATTTCCACGAAGATCAGACATAATTTCCAGAAGATTTGCACGAAAATCTTATGGAAATTACGTCATGACTTAACTTCCACAAATATTAGATATCCAGGGAGCGCCCCACTCGCTCACTGGATGGCGCTCTCCCTCCCTGGCGATGTAACTATTACTATTTAGTAGTCCTAAATTAGGACCAAAATCAAGTACGGTTTCAGTTTAACAATGAAAATTGATTATTTTATTTCATTTATATAATCTTAACTACATATACATACATACATACTTATATGTATACAGAGGATAAACTATAATATCATTCGAAATGACATTCTAGATGAAAGCTTAGACACAGCAACTGACCCCAAGTATTGAAAAATGAATATCGCGACCGCACGGCGATGTGAACTTTGACCTAACTCAGATGCTTACATGCCGCCGCTGTTCCAAATCGAAACTGAAACGACTCTAACGTGAAGATCTTGACCACTACGATACGCGAGGAGATGCCGATATCGAAGACGCCGAACATATTTTACTCCACATCCCGCGGCTCGATCTGGATAGAAATCACATTCGCCCTTGTTTGGTGAAGAACCTACACCGGAAAATAGAGTAGACCACATCAAAGAATCCACTGAAAAATGGGTAGCAGTGAACAATGCAGTCACATTAATTTTGACCAAACTGGGAAAAGATGAACAGCGTTGAATTTTACGAGGCGTTACGAAACAGACGGACGTGACATGGCGGGCGGGGACCAAGGTTTCTGACAAAGAAAGGGTGTTTTTTCGAAGGCGGCTCCAAGTTGATGCAACTTCTTTTTGGTTAAAGTCACACACTGATGGTTCTGAGATAAGCCTCTCGGTCCCGACGACTACTTGACAGTAGTACTGGGGCGATAGCGGCACTTTGACAGTAGGTGGTTAAATTGTCGAAAATTCTTACACTGACAGTTTTGTGTTAACATATCGATACTTCCTCTTCATAACAACAACAAAAAAAACAGCACAGTGCGCTATTGCCTTTGTATTTTTGAAATTGAATTTCGGATTACAATTTTCTACTTCATCGCGCAGTAATTGAAGCTAAAACTTCACTTTGGGCGCATTGATGCTACTTCAGCTGCCTGAGAGTCCTGAATGAATGTCATTGTAGCCGTTAATTGGGTAGCGACACTGTCACCAAAGTCAGGGCAATGCAATTATGGATTCATATAGGCCTTTGAATGAATGCGTGTGTGTGTGTGTGCAACATTCACGGCAGTTGCATCGGCATTTGCATAATTGAGCGAACTATGCGCTACGAGCTGCTGCATTTCAATTGTGAAGTCATGTGTGGATGCTTATTGCGAAAGGGGAAAAAAAGGCAGAAACTAAGTATTAACAACAACAACGGTGAGTGCAGCTAGACACTCTAAGTGGCGGCAATAGTAACAGTTAGTTGGCGCATAAGTTGCGTGGCGGCAAAGGGTGCACTGGTGCAACTTGAAATGTGGCTGTGTGAAAAATGCATTTGCAACTTCAGTGGAGCGCGGAGAAGCCGCAGGCAGGCAGGCAGGAAGGCAGGTAGAGTTTCTTCAAGGACATTATTGCATTATTTGCGCAAGATAAGATCTGTGTGGCAAGGCGACCACACGGTTGCAGCAGCAACCGTTTGCCAGCACAATGTTTTTTTTTTTTTGTTTTGATAGAAATACTAATAACTATCTTTAAAAATCTTGTATGTGAGTATACAGGACATATATGTATGTATGTAGATATTTTTTTTCAAATGCATTTTTCGTGGCCGTTTTTCATGGTTTGTTTTTTTTTTTTGAGAATTTACCCTTCCTTATTCTTTATTTTGAGATAGGTAAAGGATAAAGTTGCAGAAATGCAACGACAGCGGCAACGGCAGCCAAGAACACGCCTGAATGCACAAAATTGCATTGCGGCTGCACTTCCGATCGCAAGCAAACGAGAAAATGCACCAACTTTCGTATAACAAAAAAAAAAAAAACAAAAAACAAACAAACAACAAAAACGACAATAACAAAAAACACAATTGCAACTTGGCGAACAATGCTGCTTGTCAACAAAATTGCAGACAAACAAAAAACAGCAAAAATTCTGAAAGTATTTTTGGGGTAAACAAAAAGCGGCGACGAAACCGACAAAACAACTCAGCTTGTAGATATGCAAAACGGGCTGCGGCGCGCCGCGGGCAAACACACGCTAAGCAATGCAGGCAAACGGGAAGAAACTCCCGAAAGCACTGAAGAAACACTCACACACACACGCACACTTAAAAAGGCTCACACACACACACACTCACGCTTGCCTGCTTGCTTGCTGGCGACACAAAAGTGCAACGAGACGAGAGGCAAGTCTGGCGATGCCAACAACAGCACCAACAAAAAAGCAAAGTTTAAAAAGCACTAAACAACAACAACAACAACATCAATATCAAGCAGCAGAAAGCAAGTTAAAATTGAGCGCAATGAAAGGAAAAGGACTTCAGGCACAGCGAACGCAACTTGAAGATGCACTAAAGGAGGAGTTGGAGGGAGGCGCGTCGGTCGGAGTTGCAGCCTGACTGTGCAGCCTGACTGTGGCCAGACGTCGGGCGAGAATTAACGAGCAATGTAAACGCGCCGTGAAGAAGTTGAGGTATAGACAAATAGTGAAAAAATGTCTGAAAGCGAATAGAATGCTGTAGAGGGCAGCAAAAGAAAAGAATGGTGTCGCGAGGAGAGGAATCGTCTCAAAGCAAACGAGTGACGCACAGTGTTGAAATACTGATCAAAGAGCAAGTAATTGCGGCTGAAAAAAGTGTGTTAAAATAAAGGAAGCTTATGGGTTGGATGGAAGCAAACTACTACTGTAAAAGCATTTCTATTGGATTTTTGATAACGTTTCATTGCATACAAAGCCGCCATCGAGAAATCGTATCGTAACGGTATAAAAATTCTTAAAAGTCAATATTTTTCAATCGAAAAACTCCGTTTCTCTGCAAGAGATTCCCAATAATAATAGCCAATTGTGAATTTTTAAATTTTTTCGTAGTTATGCTACAATTTATAGGTCCCCAAAAAACCTAAACAAATGCAATAAAAAATGTTTAGTATTAAAAAAAAAAAGTAAATCAGTGTTTAGTGTTTTTATAGATCTACAGGTTAGGTTAGACGGGTTGGTCGTCCTTTCATGTCCTCCTACAGGGGGCGTATGCTGACTAGGTTCTCTAAGAAAAGGTCTCCCAGAGATCTAAAATACATTGGTACTGCGTGACATTTGCATCGGTAATATTTAACGAATTCTAAATTTTCCTAATTTTTACAACTTCTAATGACCAATAGGTTAATGTTCTTGTAAGAAACTTTTTGTTCCGCTCATCGATCAGTGGACAGCGCGTCCGTGATGCTGTAGGGGTTCAGTTTAGTCCATATGCTGTTGGTATCAACTCTTTATTTCTCCACGACTTACAAAGCTGAAGTCTAAGAGAGGCTTGACCATTTGCATTCCATAAGTCT